TTGGATCCACTGCGTGTGCTTATGAAAGCAACACTCAACATCAAATGACATATTTCACTGGGCAAATTTGCTTCAAAAATCTTCTTTAAAGTGTTAAAGAGCAGAGATTTCACATGAGGACTGAGGTCTGCCTGAGGAGTTTTCAGTTTCTCATATGCAAGTAAAATCTGGCAGTGACAGGGAAGACCAGAGAAGAACTGACTCGCCGGAGTCATGGTGTGGCAAAGAACATTGACACTGCGTGCACCGTGGGCCACCAGAAGAACAAGCAGACCTGCGTCTGAAGAAGTACAGCCGGTGCCCCCTACAGGCAAGGATGGCGAGATCCCTTCCATGTGTTTCGGACATGTTGTCCGGAGAGACCAGTCCCTGGAGAAGGACATCCTTCTTGGTGCAGGAGAGGGGCAGGGGGGAGAGGAAGACGCTCAGGGGATGAATTGACACAGTGGTAGCAACAACGGTGTGGGAGTTACACAAGCTGTTGTCAGTTTGAGATGACTAAAAGTGAAGGGGTGGAGTTTAGCCTGTCAATCAGCTTCCAGCTTGATGGCCTTGTTTGGAATCGCTAAGGAGATAAATAGCTCCCTGGAGGCAGGGCACAGGCTCACTCCCTGGGAGGCATTGCTGCTGACAAGACACATAGAACTACTCTAGCGCCCTGAGCTGGAGGAGCCACGTGGAGACCCCTGCCAGCGCTGAGATGCTTACAATGCCACTGGATCCACAATACTCCCCACCCACTGACCTGTGATCTTCCTGCATTTGGCATCATTGCATGTGTTTCATGAGTCTGAAGAGGACTTTATAGAATGTTATCGGACATATGGGCTAATATCGGACTTATGGACTTGATCTGGACTGGGCTGGGATGTTTTCTTAATGTACAGTTACTTTTTCTATAAAGCTCTTTCTGATACACATATGAGTGTCTGTGAATTTGTTTCTCTAGTCTGCTCAGACTAGCAAATGGGCTTAAACAAAATTATGAGGCTCACCAATCATGAGGATGGTGCAGTGTGTTGTTGTGTTGTACATGGAGTTTCTATGATTTGGAGCTGACTCTGGTATTGAGCCACAACAATACCAGATATATGAATAGGGCGATATTTATAGGTTGTTGTGAGGTTCCACTGAGTCCGTTCCAACGCACAGCAACTGTATGCACAATAGACGAACCACTGCCTGGTCCTGCGCCACCCTCATCGATGTTCCTTTATTTGAGCCTGTTGTGGCAGCCACTGTGTCAATCCATCAGCTTCTTGACTTCATATTTAACTCTTCCTCTTTTCTGCCACCTCTGCACTTTACCAAACATGCTGCTCTTCTGCAGGGACTGGTCTCTCTTGACCACATGTCCAAAGTATGTAAAATGAAGTCTTACCACCCTTGCCTCCAGGGGGCACTCTGGCTATACTCCTTTCTAGACAGATTGGTTTGTCTTTTTAACAGTCCAGGGTACTTTCAGTATTCTTCTCCAGCACCACAATTCAAAGGCATTTCTTCTTCGGTCTTCTATATTCAATGTCCAACTTTCCCACGTATATGAGGCAATTGAATACACCATGGCTTGGGTAAGGCACATCTTATTCCTCAAAGTAACATCTTCACTCTCCAACACTCTAAAGACATCTTTTGTAGCAGATTTGCTCAGTACGATGCATCTTTTGATCTCTTGACTGATGCTTCCATAAACATTGATTGTTGATCCAAGCAAGACAAAATCTTTGACAACTTCAATATTTTTTCTGTTAATCCTGGTGTTACTCGTTGGTTCAGTTGTGCAGATTTTGGTTCTCTTTACCTTGAGGTGTAATCCATACCGAAGGCTGCAATCCTTGATCTTCATCAGCAAGGGGTTCAAGTCCTCCTCATTTTCAACAAACAAGGTTGGGTCATCTGCATACTGCAGGTTATTATCATAAATAAGCCTTCCTCCAATCCTGATGGCACATTCTTCTTCCTATAAACCAGCTTCTCTGATTATATGATCAGCAAAATGTTCAACTTTTTGTGAATTAGATGAAGGTTTACAGAACAGAGAGTAGTTTTATATTCAATAATTCAGACACATGATTCAGCTCGCCCATTACAGTCTCTTCAGTGGACCACCGCTCATCCTGCCTCCTCCTCATGTTTCCTATTTCTGTTTGCTCCTTTCATTTGTAACCATCTGAGCTTCATGCCTAGGGAAATACTGCCCTTTGATTGGTTAGTTATTTTAAGATAGGTGTACCTCCCTAGTGTTAGTATCCACTTTATAGACCTATTGTTCAGTTGAAAATTGAGCCATTCCACTGGAGATCCCCTTGCAGAGGGGTCTCGGGGAGGAGATGAGCCAGTCAGGGTGCGATGTAATAA